AGTGAATGGAGAGGTTTTTGGGTTTTTTTGTTTGTTTGTTTGTTTTTTAAGACATAGCAATAAACTACCATGTGAGGACTTTATTTGGATCCTTATTTTTTTTAAGTTTTTAAAAAGGTTATAACATTCATGAAATAATTGGAAATTTGAACATTGCCTGGATATTTGATGATGTTAAGGAATTATTAATTCTCTTTGCATTTGAAGGGGTGTTGAGGTTATATTAAAAATAATCCTAGCTTTTAAAAATACACATACTGAAAGATTTATGGATGAATGATATTTCAGATGCATTCAGACTCATATGACAGACATGTCATATGGAATGATATGGCAGACATTTGTTTCAAAATTGGACAGGGGAGCAGAAAGTGCTCAAATTCGTGGGTGGCAATGGTGGTGGCTGGCGTTGGCTGGGTGATGGATACACAGAAGTGTGGTTCATTATTCTGGTTTTTTTGCTTTGTTCAAAATTCTCCATAATGAAAAGTAAAAAACAAAACACCCCCCCCAAAAAAAACTCTTACAATAGTGTAAGTGGATTAGAAGAAAAGCCCGTAGGTAATAGCGGGGCACATGTTCTAAGAAGTGACTCGTCACTTTTGCTCTTGACACAAAAGATGACATCAATAGAGTCACTGGTAAAATGGAGTTGAAAGTGATTCAGAATTAAACTCCAAATCTGAAGAAGTTTTAAGAATATCTTAAACAACATTTCCTGTCTACTTTCCTCTTCTAATGCATGAGGGTGATAAATGAAAAAAAAATGTGTTTAAAAATTCAATAGGAATACAAAATTCTCTTTCATTAGGTTAACAAATTCTAGCAGATAAGAATGTATCATGTCTGAGTGGGATTTGGTCGGTTTTTTTCCTTGAATGGTACATAAAATAATAGGGTGTTGTTGGTAACTTTTTAGTTCCAATGAAATACAAAACTCCATCTAGTGGACTAGTTAGCCTTGGTGATGTGTTCAAATGTCAGATGGGGAAAGAAACTGGTTTTAGCGGATTGATTGACAAATGTTCCTATGCTATTCTGACTTGGCAATTTAATACCTTCTAAAGAATTCTTTTGCCTGTTACAGACTTGAGCATATACAGTGCTCCTACGAAAGTCTGGTCAAGATGGGGAAGGCTCTGGGGTTGTCTCTGGTGGCAACGTTGGTGGCCGCTTTTATGTAACTGTTTATCATCTCTTGTTTAACCACATAAACTAGGAGGAAAAAATACGAGAAAAGGGGCTTGGTATCAGCTAAGAACTCCAATTTCATGGAGGTAAGTTTTGCAGTGGATGCATTGATTACAACAGAAATATAGGGGTCCTGGCTGGGTTAGTAGAAAACATATGGCCATAGGAGCTGGTAAGAATTTTAAAGGTCATCTTAACCCCACCATCATTTTATAGGTGAGGAAAATGATGCTCAGATTGCCCGAGGCTAAACAGCAAGCTGCACCGAGGCTGGAAACTGGGTCTTCTGTTTTCTAAGATTCTGATCAGTCCTAAAAGATTGTGTTCCCTAGAAGCAGAGCCCGAGATGGGTATTCCTCTGAAAATGATTTGTTGGGGAAGAACTCCCAGGAGAAAGAAAGTGAGGGGAGAGGATAGGACAGAGAATCAAAGCTAAGCAAGGGTGTGGTTTCAGGTGCAGACGAGCTTCAGCCTGATCCCATGGGGAACTCTGGAGCGCAGATTCACCACAGAGTTGGTCTGACCTGGAGGCAAGAGGACCAGCCTTTTGAACCGCAGGTGTCACTTGTTAGCTGTAAACAGCTGGGGATTGTGTTGCCATGGTGCCCTTTTTTACAAACTGAATTTTGTCCCCTCTACTCCCAAATTCATGTGTTGAAGTCCTGACCCCCAGTACCTCAGAAAGTGACTGTATTTGGAGATAGGGCCTTTAAAAAAATTTATTTATTTATCCTAGAGAGAGAGAGAGAAAGAGAGAGAGAGAGCGCACGCAAGCGTGCACAATACCAGAAGATGATACCAGAAAATACCAGAAGAAGATGGCCATCAACAAGCCAAGGAGAGGGTCCTCAGAATGAGACCAGTGCTGCCAACACTTTGATCTTAGACTTCTGGCCTCCAGAGCCATGAGGAGATAGATTTCTGTTGTTTAAGCCTCCCAGTCTGTGGTACTCTGTTATGTCAGCCCCAGCAAACAAGTGCACCTTTGACCAAGGGCGGTCCTCCAGAGAAGGGAGCAGCTGTGCGTGGAGTATCCACCTGCCCTCACGGCAGCTCAGGCGCACAGGCCCTGCTTGGTGAAGGGACCCATTCTCTAAGGTTATGAGTATTACCAAGGGATCACTTTAGAGTCTGTCCTGGAAGCTCTTAGAAACCAGCATTTATTTAGCCTCTACTCTGGGTCGTTCTCAGAGGACACAGAGGGAAAAGGGGAGGCGGGGTTGGATCACTTTATTGTCATGATCTTGCCACTTGATGCTCTCATCTTTTTTTCCAAAGATAGATGGAGCCTGATGTGAAGCTGAGGAGGGAAAGCAGGGTAGGGGTTCTTTTTCTTAATTAGGAAGTGTGGCGGGACCAGCTGGGTAAAGTGAGGCGTCTACAATACTCTACTGCCTCTCTTCAGATCAGCAAATGAAGTATGAATAGTGCTAATGACCCGAGGTGGGCATTATGGGACAGGCTGCCTTTCCTTATTACCATAATCCACTCTTCTCCCTAATGTTCTCACCACAGTTTTTACTCTTGCCTGCTGGGTGAGAAATTTTAAGAAAGGCAAATTAAATTATTCCTGAGGTTTATCAAGTTGACTTTTCCACCCAATCACTTTCTGTACTTAATCAAGCGAAGGAAAGGTTATTGATTAGACTTCCACAGGACACTTTATGAGCAGGGTAGCGAAACATAATTCTTTTTAATAGTCAGAAAGTTGGCTACTTCAGACCTGCAGTATGATTTTCATCAGTGAAGTGGAACTTACTTTTTCAAGTATTTACTCCGTTTTACTTTCCAACAACCGTATTAAATTGCTACTAAGCAAGAAAAATTCCTTCCATAATTTGATAGCATATTTTCAGGTAAGATCACATAAATCTTGGTGCAACAAGGAAGCTTCCACCACTCTGATAGAGCAAGGCCATCATAAGAGAGAAAATGGCTGTACCACCTGAGCATGGAAGAATTCTAAGTGGCTATGCTAAACAGCATCAGGGTTTTCTATGTGTGCATAAAACAGGCAGAATTCTAAGACCTTTCCTATGAGTGCAGAGGCGGGTCTACTGCAAAGCAAATGAAATTTAAGCTTAGGGATTCCCCTCACTTACATAAGCACCTCCAAGGCTCCGTCCTGAATTTTGTGTTCCTAGAAGTCTCAAGTGGACCCCTAAACCAAATCATCCCCGGGGCCTCCCAAATCTGGAACTGCCCTATATTGGATATAATTTTTCCAGAAGAGATTAATATACAGGAGACACTTGGACCAGTGCCTGTGGAGCAACCCAGTGACAGCCTGGAAGGAGAAACAGTACATACATCTGTTGCTTTGAGTACACAAGACCAGCTTCTCTCATCAATGGTTCTCCAAAGTGGCTACTGTGTGGAGTCTTCTATCAGCTATGTAGCATTATAGATCCAGTTGGGCGGCTATGAAGATAGCACTCCCTAAAATATTTTTATGAATACTTGGTCTATCTGTTGACCAATGTTTTCCAAGCGGGGGTGATTTGGCTGTACCGGGGACATTTGGTAAAGTCTGGAGACATTTTTGATCACCATGACTGAGAGGGTGCTATTGGCATCCAGGGATGCTGTTAAACATTCTACCATATGCAGCACAGCTCTCTGACCAGAGCCTTATGTGGCTGCAGTTGTTAGCGGCGTCCCCAGTTGAGAAACTCTGCTGTCATAGAGAGTAGAGGTTAAGTTTCTGGTATCAGGGTCCACACCTCTGAACTCAGGCTCTTCCACTTGCTGGATCCTGAAGCGTCAGTGTTCTCATCTGAAAATGGGGATAATATTAGTATCTATCCTATAGGGTTGTTGAGAAGATTAGATAATAGAGGTAAGAGGCTTGGTACAGTGCCTTGCCTAAAGTGCTCATAAAGTCCTGACCACTGTTGCTATTACTATACTTATATCCAAATATATCACATACTTTGCACAATAATAAATCTTTACTTCCTTCCAAGGGTTAACTTCTTAATAAATCCACTTTTCACCTAAAATAAGAAGAAGGAACTTGATCTGTGGTTTTTAAATTTGGCTCCAATAGGCAAGGGATTTAGTGAGGACATCCCTTCTCCCTGCACCCCAGAATTTTCCATGGTGGGATGGATCAGGAAAAGCCAGTATATGGAGATAGAAATCCCCAGCTTTAATTCAGTTAGATCAGTTCAGCTTTTATCTGTTTTGTTTTTGCCTTAGGGTTTTTTTTTTAAGAAAAAACTTTGAAAAATTACTGAACTAAATGCTTCATTCCAACAGAAACATTTTATGATTATGTGATCATTTCAAATATTTTCAACATCTGTGAGTCCAAATAAATCTCTGAAGCATTTGGGTAAGACAAGATATTAAAGGACATCTTTTTCCATGGAATTTATTCTGTGAAGTATCATAAATCCATAGAGAAGATGGTCTCACTGAAATGGGCCTGAAAGGGATGTTCCTTATTTGTATTTTCTCACTCTTGGATAAAATCTTGACTCTTGACACAGGAACTACCTCATCAAGGTATCCATGTATAATCATAGGTGCAGAGGTTCAGTGACACATGGATTTGTCTGGAGTGAGAAATCTGTGCTTCCTGTTGGGTAAACATAGATGCCACTCAGCTGAAAGATCCTGCGGTGCGTTCTGATCTGCATCTACGGTCTTGAAACAGGGTGGGTAAGGGACAGATTTGGGGGCTGACCTGGACTTTCTGATGTATTTCTGGGTCATCTCACAGGTCCGATCTGTCCGGGAACGTCCATACTGTGCTATGTTGGAGTTATACCTGTGGCTCCAGTTAGAACTTCTCTGCAGATGCTGACAGCTCTGCTTTCTCTTTGGAGGGACACCTGTTCTCTGGGGCCTTTGTCCTTTCAGTGTGCAATGTTCTAAAGACGCTCGATGGGGACCAATTTCTTCTGCCTGAGACTGAACAGAGAAAGAACTATACCTTTAAGCAGAACTTGACACCCCCTGGGGGGCGCAACATTAAATACCTTCCCAGCCACACTTGATCAGGGTGTCTGGTCATTGGTCAAATGCACCATGTCTGTGGGTGGCCTGCCTTTAATATTCATAGGACTGTGGCAAGAATACAAATGGAGATTCTCAGCCCATGGGCTTCCCCCTCCCCTTCTTACCCCTGACTCCATCCTGCACAGCAAGAGACCTTGTACCCATACACATGGACACCTCGGTCTACTACTTTAAGCACCATTCATATCCTCCACAAAAAGTTACCCCTTGGCTTCCCTTTGAGCCTCGGGGTGCATAACCTAGCATGGACACCCTTGAGAGGAAAGATCAAGGGAAGAGGTCCACGCAGACCTTAGAGCTGGGTTTAGAGCTGTTGGAACAAGAAATTTCAAGGTCCCAAGGTCTGAATGGAGGCATAGGGTCTCTGGGTAAGCACATCCCTTTTAGCCCTGCACACACAGGCTCTGGAAAAGGCCTGGAACAAGGCCCAGGGCAAAGGATTCTCTTGCCTGGGTCCAAGGACGGTATCACATTCCAAAAATGGGATGATATTGTACCTACTTTCTGCTTTTTACTTTACTCATTCACTAACACTGTAAGGAAATCCTTACATGTCATGTGGTATAGCTCTCATTTGTTCTTTTTTAATGCCTGTATAATACTTCATGGTATCATGTGTCATAATTTAGCTAGCCATTTCTCTATTAATAGACATTGGCCTGTGTCCAGTTTCTAGCTGTGAACAATACTGTTATAAATGTAAGTGTTTACAGAGGATAGCATTACTGCTTTAGAATTCATTTCCAAAAGTAGAATTGATATACCACGACCATATAATTTAAATGCTATGGGATGTTTCCAAAAGTCAACCTATGAAAGGCTGCTAACTTGTCATCAAAGAAATTCAAATTAGCCTCACAGAGAAACATTACATCCATCAGATTGAAAACAATTTTGGAAGAGCAATAATATCAACATAATTCTGGGGAGAAGCATAATCTCACCCACGGCTGATAGAAATATGAAGTGCACCAGCCAGCCTGGAAGGCAGTTGGAAGCTTATGTTAGGGCCCCCAAATAAATCACAAGTCGGATCTTTTCATGTTTGTTTACACTTCAGTGATCTAACACCTACATGGTGACCCTATGAACTCACTCCCTTGTAGGTAATTCCCTTGACTGAGGGGAAGGCTGAAGAATGATGGACCTTGAGTACCTTTGGCAAACCTCACCCGGACTCCCAGCACCTTATCTCCTGGCTGCAGCTGACAGTGCTCATCTTGGACACAGAGACTGTTGAGGAATGGAGACTCAACACTCAAGCACCGCAGAAAGCCCCCATTTCCTTGATGTAGCAAGTCTCCTGTGCAGGAGTCCCCAACTAACACTATTTCCAGAGTCCCTAGTTGGAAATGCCCGAAGCCCATGATTCTTTCCTCAGAACTCTCTCCAGCTGACTAAGAAATTTCTAGCCATCATTTAATAATGTCTTGGGTTTTCTTCTGGGTCAAACAGGCTGTGAGACTTGGTACTGCCCCCCGCCCATGCTGCCCCCTACTTCTGGAAACACTATTGATTTTCAGCATGGCTGATAAAACAGAGAGATAAAAGGCCCAATTTTTATTTTTATGATAGATATGACTAATTAACTATAAATGTCAAGTATCCACAACTTAATTAATTCCAGTTCATTTAACTACAGTAATTAGATTTTTTTTTTCCCAAACAAAGCAACAGTCTGTTTTCGAAGGTCATAGACTAATAGTACAATGAACAAGGCTGAAAGGCTTGCACTTTGAATCAAAAGTAACTGATGGCTGATGCCAGTGGGGGAAATAGACCACACAAAATAAAAAATAATTGGCAGGCTGATTAATAAAGTTTGTTTGAAATGTATTTATAATGCATCTTTGATTAATAGCACCAACGAGTACTTGAAGTTAAACCTTTAAAAATTTTAGGGACTTTTCATTATAATGAGAAGTTTAAAAACAAAACTTGATCAGAGTTTGAGTCACATAGACCATCAAGAAGCCAGAATTCTAATTAGCGAGAAATGTCTTTTTTGCTTAAGAAAAGCAATTTAAATGGGCATATTCGGTTATATCCGTCAAGTTCTCCAGCGGACAATCTGGACAGGGAGAGATTTAATCAAGAAGGGGTTAACTTATTTGCCTTAATAAAATAAAAAGCTTTAGAAAGTCTGAAGAGGTTGGTGGGGGTTTTGGGGAGAGGTGTTTTGAGAGATATTTGAAAGGAAAGAAAAGGAGGAGAGACCCAAGCTATGTGGATGACACCAGCCAAAATCTGCAGAAAATGGGAGAGAGTCTCCAAGGAGGGAGTGTGATCAAAGAACTTGAAAATGGGGATGTCTGTTATTTAATTTTAATTGGTTGTTTTTTGTGCCATCTTCTGCCACCATTTCCCTAAGAATTTAATTAAAGTCTTCCAAATGGAACTGGCTTGTGACCGTGTTGTGTTTGGGGGAAAGAAGGATGCAGGCTATATCCAGTGTGAGCTGAAGACACGTGGAAGGAAGATGGCTCCAGTGGAGCCAGGTGGAGCTGGGGGCAGTATCCAGCAGTGGAAAAGGAAAGCATATGGCGGTGTCCACTTTAGTATTAAAAAAAAATGCCTCCCGACACCCCTCAGAGGTAACAGGTCAGGATCTGGACCTCTGGTAGTACATGGCATGGGGCACAGGACTTTCTTCATACTTTTTTATTAACTCATTCCCTTTATTCACCAGTTTTCAAAACATGTGATGTATTGTTTCACTTCTATCCCCCAGTGGCTTCCAATTAATTTTTTAAATGATTAAGAACTCATGTATTTAAACATATTTGTTAAGTTTCAATCATTTGCAGTTATTATCTTTGTTAGCACTCAGATGGTCACATCTCTGGCTTGAGGGAGCCTCTTGAAATTGTACAAGCCATACTTTTAAAAATTAGGTATAAGTGACATTATATTAGTTTCAGGTGTTCGACATAATGATTTCAATGTTCGCGTATATTGCAAAGTGATCACAATAAGTCTAGTAAACACCCATCACCTTGCATCGTTACAAAAATTTTTTTCTAGTGATGAAAACTTTTAAGACCTACTTCAATAATCTTAAAAATGGTGCAAGCCATGTTTAATATGAAGCCACTTTTAAAGCCATTATTTGTTAATAATAAGGAAAAGCTAGGGTCTTGAGGATGTCCAGGCAGCAGATACTTGGGGTGAAGTGTTATTTTTCTGTGAACTGAAATTCTTCTGGCTATTTCTCATCACTGCTTCCCTTCATCTCTCTTACAAAAAAACCCCAGATCACTCGGCCTTAGCTCAAGCATCTTATTAGACTTAAAGGAAAACCATGACCCTATTTCCTTTATGTGTATTTATTAAATGCCCGCTACAGTTCCAGGCTATGCCAGGCAATGCTCCCTCTCTGGTGGCCAGACTCTTGACTCTCATTTTCTTTTTTTTTTTAATTTTTTTTATTGTTATGTTAATCACCATATATTACATCATTAGTTTTTGATGCAGTGTTCCATGATTCATTGTTTGTTCATAACACCCAGTGCACCATGCAAAACGTGCCCTCCTCAATACCCATCACCAGGCTAACCCATCCCCCCACCCCCCTACCCTCTAGAACCCTCAGTTTTTCAGAGTCCATCATCTCTCATGGTTCGTTTGACTCTCATTTTCTGATGTGTGACGTCATTGGTGAAGACAGTCATGGCGGTAACATTCTCAACTTGGCATAGACTGTAACATCCAAATGGGAGTTTACATGCCAGATCAAATTGGGCGAGGCATCAATAAGAAAAGCTAC